AAATTCATTAATACTTTATTTGTTATATCAAACATCAAAATGTTTTCAACATATTTACCGCTTACTCCTTTCCTCCTACTCAAGTTAGCAACACTTTGAACAATTTAATGTTTCACTTAAATATTTCTCAATTAATTAAGCTTACCTGAAGAAATCTCTGAATCATCACTAGATTCAGAAATATCCTATGGATCCTCATCCGATTCAAGTTCTCTTGTAAATCGTTCAAACTTTTTAATATATTCCTCAAATACAGAATCATTGTTAAACACTGGGGCATTCCTTCCACATAATGGAGGAAAATCCCTAGCAACTTCTACCCTTTTATGACAATGATACTAAAATCATGTTGAACTCTCTTGGGTCAATTTTGATCTCGACTTTCTTTTCAATATCATCTACTTTCTTACCTTTGCCATTCATTTTCGATATCTATTAGGACATACATAAGAATAACACTCAAGTTATTAAGGAGTGACATCAATCACCCTCTAATTGACACTATATCAGTAACTTTGACAATCTTAATGGCATGTAATCCTTTTTACATTAAAATACATTCGATTTCAGTCGAGAATCGGCTAAACTTGTAGCTCTAATACCAATAAATGTAACACCATATCTCGTATACCTTTCCGTACATGAAATACATATGTCACATCACTTTTAAAATATTTCCCCTTTAGAAAAACCCATAAAATTTTGTTTTCATATTTTCTTAAAACATTAAATTTTTAATATAAACTAAAACATTAATTGAAATATGATAAGAGGTTATACTTAAATACAATTCAGAGCATTTTCATACTTTAATTACATGCCAACTAAAATTTTCCAAAACAACCCAGATTATCCTATAGTTACTGACAAGTAAACCTTAATTGATTATATATGTTGCTACTGCTGCACTCCTTATTTGATTTGTCTCTTCTTTTACCTACGCGTGGAAGTAACACACGTTAAGTATTTACTTAGTGAGACATAATATTGTAAAGTAATCTTTATGTATACATAAGTATGCCATGTTTATTTAGTTCGTACTAAATTGTATATTCTTTAAGGATCCTATAATCCTCCTTTATTAAACTGTATTTCATTCACAATTATCATAATTTTTTTTGTATGCCTAGCATACCTATCTTTCTTTATACTTTTTTCCATTTATCTATTTAGTCATTATTCTTTATTTTCATTTAGAGCATCAATTTATACTTATAATGCACCATTATGCATTTTCATTTATGGCATTCTTTCATGCCAATAAAGCACCCCTATGCATTTCTTTTATGGCATCCTTTCATGCCTTTTATACGCTATTATACATTTCATTTATAGCATCTTTTCATGCCTTTTATACACTATTATACATTTCATTTATGGCATCCTTTCATGCCCTTTTATAAGCTATTATACAGTTCATTTATGGCACCCTTTCATGTCTTTTATACACTATTATATATTTCATTTATGGCATCCTTTCATGCCCTTTTATAAGCTATTATAAATTTCATTTATGACATCCTTTCATGCCTTTTATACTACGTCATGCATTGTTATACATCTAGTCTTTTACTCAAAGGCATTTAACCTTTTATCTAACTAGCATGATTAACACCTTTTTGTCAAATGCACAGCTAGGCCATTAATCTTTTACTCAAAGGTATTTAACCTTCCATCTAACTGGTATAATTAACATCTTTCTGTCAAATGCTCAGCTAGGCCATTAATCTTTTACTCAAATGTGTTTAACCATTCATCTAACTGTATAATTGGCACCTTTCTATCAAATGCACAGCTAGGCCACAAAGGCACTTAGTCTTTCATCTAACTGTCATAATTGACACCTTTCTGTAAAATGCATAGCTAGGTCTCAAAGGCACTTAGCCTTTCATCTAACTGGCATAATTGACACATTTCTGTTAAATGCACAGCTAGGCCTCAAAGGCATTTAGCCTTTCATTTAACTGGCATAATTGACACCTTTATGTCAAATGCACATCTAGGCCTCAAAGGCACTTAGTCTTTCATCTAACTGCCATAATTGACACCTTTTTATCAAATGCACAGCTAGGCCTCACAGGCACTTAGCGTTTCATCTAACTGGCATAATTGACACATTTCTATCAAATGCACAGCTAGGCCTCAAAGGCACTTATCCTTTCATCTAACTAGCATAATTGACACCTTTTTTTCAAATGCACATCTAGGCGTCAAAGGAACTTAGCCTTTCATCTAATTGGCATAATTGACACATTTCTATCAAATGCACAGCTAGGCCTCAAAGGCACTTAGCCTTTCATCTAACTGGCATAATTGACACCTTTTTTTCAAATGCATAACTAGGCCTCAAATGCACTTAGTCTTTCATCTAACTGGTATAATTAACACCTTTCTGTCAAATGCACAGATAGGCCATTAATATTTTATTTTAGAACAGTTTCTACTATAATAATTATTCATAATATCAATTAACTCTTTCAAATCATTATACACTCTATGGTTTATACATATAATGTCAATGCAATAATCCCACAATCCTACTATAATCTACGTGGGTTGCACCCACAATACCAACAAAGAAATTCATATAATTTCTTAGTATGCATTTCCTAGTTTTTGCACATATGCATACGAAAATTCATCCACTTAGTATGAATTTCTTAAGTTTACACATAAAGTGCCCATACGGAAATTCAGCCACTTAGTATGAATTTCTTAAGTTTACACATATAGTGCCCATACGGAAATTCATCCACTTAATATGAATTTCTTAAGTTTATAAATATAGTGCCCATACGGAAATTCATCCACTTAGTATGAATTTCTTAATTTTTTGCACACTTAGTACCATTTAGTAATCACCATACATACATCAATAAATCATACAATTATGAATATCGTAACATATACATACATAGTTAAATGTACTCACCTGGCTTACCTCGCTTTGATATCTCAAAACTCAAAAAGTGATTACTCAATAACTTGGCCCCTTTGCCTTTTTCTTTCCTTGACTCGGGAGCTTAATTTCGATCTATTCCATATCCATTAAATACATGTACAATATCAATTGTTAGTATGTTTTCTAACAATTACACTTAAACATTACTCAAAAGTATGAATTTCTTAAGTTTTTACACACTTAGTACCATTTGGTAATCACCATACATGCATCAATAAATCATACAACTATGAATACCGTAACATATACGTACATAATTAAATGCACTCACCTGGCTTGCCTCGCTTTGATATCTGAAAACTCAAAAACTGATTACTCAGGAACTTGGCCTTTGCCTTTTTCTTTCCTTGACTTAGGAGCTTAATTTCGATCTATTCCATATCCATTAAATACATGTACAATATCAATTGTTAGTATGTTTTCTAACAATTACACTTAAACATTACTCAAAAGTACTTATTATTAACTTTTCTATAACAATATCAGCCTATTTTACAATTTATGGCTCCTCAGTATCGATACCCATACCATGGTATCGATACTGTTATACTATGGTACTGATACTCTAGTATGGTATGGATACCATTTTTGCATTATGTTTCGAATGATATCGATACCTTCATCAGTATCGATACTACTCGATTAATTCAATCCATTGTAGCCTATAGTATCGGTACTGTTCTATCAGTACCCTGAAAGATACCCAAATTTGGTCAAATTTCCTCATATTTACCCCCCAACTGGGTAGTCTTGGTTCAACTGTTGGGCTTGTTGAATTGTTGTATTTGGGCTCCATGTTGGTTAGGTCTTGGGTGTTATCTTTGTGGGCTTCGATTTGTAATGGGTTGGTTCGGGTCCTTTGTAATAGTCTCCGGTCCTGCAAAATGTGACTTTGTATAATAATAATAATAATAATAATAATAATAATAATAATAATAGAATAATAATAATCATAGTATATCTGGACAAAAACAGGTGTCTACAATTATCACATGTTCTTTCATTATCAAATAATTACTCTTTACATAATATATTGTAATATTAGCTTCTTATGAAGAAAAAATATTTATATTTTAAAATAAATGTTCTTTCGTACAAAGAGAAAGTTGTTTGTTGGAACGATTAAAGATGTTTGTCCACCACAATAAATGCCACAAATACCTCATATAGCTACTATTATTAGCTTCTTTGTTATTGAATTCAATAAAATAATAAGTTCTTCATGCATGACATGTTAGGTTTTCTTTGTTTTATAGCAATTCATACGTAGCTAGTTTAGTAATTAATATGCGTTGCTTCAATATGATATTCATTAATATAAATTTTAAAAACTAATAAAGGAAAATTTATCAATTTTTCTTAATAAGCAATTGCATCTATATAGTGTGTACGTTGTCAATTAATTAATGAAGTTCTAAACATATATTGCTTGTAATCATTTAAAAGTATTTTTTTATTTTTACAAAACATTAAAAAAAATACTTGGTAAAAGATAAATAAATGATAAGTATATATTTAATATAAAATATAAAATAATTCAATAAATTCAGAGTACTTATACAAAATTATGTAAATATTTAATTTGTAGTAATAATTTTATTATCAAATATTTAAAGACTATTTTTAAAATATTATTGATTATTATTATAATATTTTATATTATTTTAAAATTTAAATTTATATATCTACGTAATTTTAAAATGTACCATCAATTATGACATAAAAAATTAAATATAATAATATTTTATTAATAAAAAATATTATTTTTATAATTACAATCTTGTATGGTGATTATTAAAATTAATTGCATGGTGATATCTATATCCATAATGATAATAACTTGCTACTTACCATGGAATAAGGAGGAAGACACAATCACAGCCGTAGAAACATAATACGGAGAACCGAGAGCACGGAGCCTATTTTATCTTCGTATACACTTGATTACTGAACCAATTTATCTTCAAAATTACTCCATCTCTGAATCATTAATAAATACTTCGAAAATAATACTAATAACCATCATTTCATCTCATCCCCCTCTTTGTTTCAATCCCAAGCTCTTTTTATTTTTAACTTTTTTTTTGGCTAAAAACCAATGAATTGAAAAGTGTTTCAGGCTTTCCTCTTTGAACTTTAGTTTCAGTTCTTCAACCCATGAAAACACCGACAAAATCTCCCTAGCTGAAAAGGGGGAAAAGAAAACCCTTCATTCTTTCGAATTACCACGCAGAAAAGAAGAGAAAAAAGACCCGGAAATTTGAAGCCATGAAACAGTTGCACAAGCAATCAAGCGTGAACCATAGGCGAGATGAGGAGATGTTAATACCTCAAACACCTCCTTATTCACCCAAACCTTTGAAACACCCTAGATCCCTCCCCAGATCCATTAACTATCTCTTAAAGGAGCAACGGCTTTTGTTCATCTTTATCGGCATTTTAATCGGCTCCACTTTCTTCATCCTCCAGCCAACTCTCTCTCGTTTAGGCCCATCCGAGAACCACCCCAGATCTTTCTCCAAAGACGACGTCGTAACCCACACCCGGGACTTCTCCTTTTCCACCAGGCCGATTCATGGAAAGGTGGGTCGGGTCCCCGTCGGGATCAGCCGACGGAGGATGAGGATCGTAGTCACCGGTGGGGCTGGCTTCGTTGGGAGCCATCTCGTTGATAAGCTAATTGGAAGGGGCGATGAAGTGATTGTTATCGATAATTTCTTCACTGGGAGGAAAGAAAACGTTGTTCATCTTTTCGGAAACCCCACGTTCGAACTCATCCGACACGACGTCGTGGAACCGATTCTCTTGGAAGTGGATCAGATCTATCATTTAGCTTGCCCTGCTTCTCCGGTTCACTATAAATATAATCCGGTCAAGACCATCATATCCTTTTCTAAAATTTAATTTCAATTTCGGTTTAGTATTATTTTTCTTCAAGTTTCTGTGTTTAATGTTACTATTTGATTTAATATTTAATAGGTTTTCTTTATATATATTTATCGTATTATGTTTATTTGAGACCCTTAACTTAGTGAGGTTACAAGACAAATGTGATGGGTACCCTTAATATGTTGGGGCTTGCAAAGAGAGTTGGGGCAAGGTTCTTGCTTACAAGCACAAGTGAGGTTTATGGTGATCCCCTTCAGCATCCTCAGAAAGAAACCTATTGGGGAAATGTGAATCCAATTGGTAAGGAGCTTATACAATGCAACGACATTTTGTTCTGGTTGATGAATCTTATTTGTTTTTGTGATGCGTAAAATTATTATTTTTATTAATGTGATTAGGGGAGAGGAGTTGCTACGATGAAGGAAAAAGGACTGCTGAAACCTTAACCATGGATTATCATCGAGGTGCTGGTGTTGAGGTATGGTTTTTTTGTTTATTTACTTGAACAATGTTGGAATGCTTGAACTATATACATAAAATTTGGTATCAAGCGGCAGCTTTAGAAACTATCGTGTTGTAATACTTATGAGAATATCTGTGATAAGTTATCCCGTTGCATGAACTATCCTGTATAATTTTGCGTACTTCTAATCCCTAGGATGATCTAGTTTTATTAATTGGAGTACTGTTGCCTTTGATACTTGATGAGTGCAAAAGAACTTGTTATGTGTTAATTGGTTTATAGATCCAGAAAAAAGTAGACAGACAAAGTGACTCTTGACGAAAGGTTATGTAGTATGACATGGATAATAGTAGAATTTGTGATAAATTGAGTTTTTCTGTTGTCCACAAACCAGTCAGCTAGAGGAAGGGGTGTACCTGAATTTAGATTTTTTTTTCAGAGTGATGTGCTAGAAGAGTAAGTTAATATAAAAATATATGTAGAGTCTTATTTACAAATCTTTCTTAGTAATGTGCCAGATGAATCTGTGTTATTGCGTTCAAAATGTGAATTTAGCCAGTTGAAACTTTGAACCGATCATCTGAATTTAGCTTAAACCTAAAATATTAACTTGGACATGATGTGACTACACAAGTTTTAATGTGAATATATTAACAATGTATTTGAAAGGGAGATTAGAAAAGGTCTATGTTACAAGAGATATGTACATGTGATGATCAAATGATGATGCTTTCTGTTTGCAGGTGCGAATTGCTCGTATTTTCAACACTTATGGTCCCCGCATGTGCTTGGATGATGGACGTGTTGTGAGCAATTTCGTTGCTCAGGTTGAATGATCCTATGGATCTTTTCTGGCATTCACGTGTAGAATTAATTTAGAGATTTGGATCATATAGCATTTTTTAACAAACGTAGCTTTATATCTCAGGCCATTCGTAAGCAGCCAATGACTGTTTATGGTGATGGGAAACAAACACGTAGCTTCCAATATGTTTCTGATTTGGTATGTCTGCCTATTTATTATCATAACTTCTCTTGATATGCTGCCTTTTTATTGGTGACTTGTTTTGGCATTTTAATTGAGAACACTGGAGAAGAGTGAAGTGGAAAGAAGCTTGATAATTTTTCTCATTGGGCTTAGAGCGAGGAAAGTGAAAACTTGTTGTCTAATTTGATTTAATCGAGTGGTTAGAACTTAGAAGCGAGACAATTATGAATTTAATAAGGGTAAACAATTGAAGAGGATTTCATACTCTCACAAATTACAGGTGGATGGACTTGTTGCTTTAATGGAAGGTGAGCACATAGGGCCTTTTAATCTAGGCAACCCGGGAGAGTTCACTATGCTTGAATTGGCCGAGGTTTGTGCATGTGTATTCAATTTGCTTTTTGTTAACCAATTGAATCTTAGAATTCCATGAGTCCTGAAATTCATTTTCCTCCTGAGCTTTCAGGTTGTCAAAGACACAATTGATCCAAGTGCAACAATAGAATATAAACCAAATACAGCAGATGACCCACACATGAGGAAACCGGATATCAGCAAAGCAAAGGAGCTGCTGAACTGGGAGCCGAAAGTCCCTCTGAGAGAGGGGTTGCCCCTTATGGTGAATGATTTCCGGAATCGCATTTTGAATGAAGATGAAGGAAAAGGAGCTTAAATGAAAAACGAGACAAGTATGTATAGTGTGAACGACAGCTGTATTTTGCCAATTCATTTCATTATTATTGTTGTTATCGTTATCAGCCTACCTGCAAAAATAATCAGTTTCAGCCCCTCTATAGGAATATTTGTTGTTATTTTGTTTTATGATAATCAGCTCCCGTTGTTCACATCTACATAATAGGAAGATTTGTTCTTTCCTTTAATGATAATCAGCTCCCATTGTTCACATCTACATGATAGTTACGGTTTTCTTCTCATTTTCCCTATCAAATTATTTGTTATCTTCAGTAATAACAAAATTGTATGGCCAAAAAGAAAGTCCTGAAACCGTCGGGTTCCAGCAAGAGTACACTGCAATGACATAGTCTATCATAGAAAAGCACAAACGCAACATCTGCTCTAGAATTGATACCTAACTCGATAGAGATGCAGCAAATGCTAAAGTTAAATCCCACATGGGATAGGTAAAAACGAGTGGTGATGGTTTAATGTTCATTGGTGATGTCCCTTCTGTGCATGATGTATGTTGTTTGAGGATATCAAATTGGTCACTTAATGTTAATAATCGTTAATATCGGTGAAGGAAATGTTAACCACTTATCTGACCTGTTGGTTTCTTATTTGGCATGTTGACTGGTCACCTATTTAACTTTAAATAAAAAACCCAACCTCATTTTATTCATTTTTATTTTAGTCCACTACTTCGCCACCGTTGCTCTTAAAGCCATCTTCAAGCTCCGAAACACCTTAGATACTTTCTCATCTTCAAACTCCATCGCCTGCTCTCCTCTACCACTACACTTCTCTACATCGACAGGACGGTAATATCCAAATTTATGCCTTCAATTTCCAAATTTATTTCAGGCAGAATGTATAGGGACCTTTTTGGGAGTGCTTATTACGTTGCACCAGAGGTTGCTAAAACCGGAGATATGGCAAGGAGGTATATGTTTGGAGCGCTGGTTTCATTTTATACATTCTTCTTATCCCATTTTACGGAGGTATGCATGTGGAAATTAAGGAAAACATTATGTACGCTAAGATTTAGATGATTCTTGATAAAAGACCTCTTATAATGTGCAGAGACAGAGAAAAATCTTCAAAGCAGTTTTAGAAGGTAATCTTTGCTTAAAAAGCCAATCATGGCAATCTATATCTGAAGGTGAAAAGGACCTCATCAGGAAGATGCCAAGCAGGAGACATTGCTTTCATTCACAAAACTGCTTTTCATCACCCATAGTTGTTATCGCAGAGTGGCCAATTTGTTATAAATCAATAATATTGATAATTGATTTATTACTTTTGAAACTTCAGTGAGGATGACAAAAATTGAACATTAATGACCATTTGTATAATTTACCCTTAATATAACCTGCATCAACTCATTACTGCTCAGCTTTCTAATTTCTATTTACATGATAACTTACTGTAATTCAAGGGATTCAACTAAAATGGTGCAGAGGGTAGCCAGATATTGATACCTTTTAATGATTCTTGCCCCTGTAAAGATTTAGAATTTATTTACAGTCATGAAATGATCATATTCCAATCATTTGTACAAGCTGAACTCTCTAAATCGAAACTATCATCTTACTAGCCATGCACTACCTCAGCTATTAGTTCATCTACCAACAATCTCTCGATCTCCTTACCTATTGCATCAATATCACTCCTCGAGTTTAACCACTCACATTCCCCAGCATCCATGTCCAGTTTCTTGTTTTTTCTTACCAGAGACTTGAGCAGGCTTACTAGCCATGCACTACCTCAGCTATTAGTTCATCTACCAACAATCTCTCGATCTCCTTACCTATTGCATCGATATCACTCCTCGAGTTTAACCACTCACATTCCCCAGCATCCATGTCCAGTTTCTTGTTTTTGCTTACCAGAGACTTGCGCAGGCTATCTTCCAGCTCTTGTATGTTCCACTTTGGAATAATTTTTCTTACAGGCTTTATCCATGGGAATTGGTCCATAAATTGTTGATAGATCTCCAGTAGCTTTGAATTGATCCTGTCGAACATCAGCCTCCTTTCACCTCTTGAACAAGAATTTAGGTTATGATATTTTTTCTCCAGTTCTTCAAAAACTATAGGGTTCACGGGGCAATCTGGAGAATGCCATGTCAATAAGAAGGTATCAAGGTCAGCTCCATTGATTCCAGAACCAACCAAGACATCAACTATGTACATAGACTCCAAATTCTTTTTGGCCATTGCTATCCCTTTTTCCTCGGCAGACTGAACAGATAATTGATCACCATCATCATCACTAGAAAGAAGCACTGTTCCCTCTTCATATGCCTCGGTTTCTAGATTTAATAGTTGAAGTTGCATCCGAAGGCCTAAACATATAACAGAACTAGAAGATTAAACAGAATATATAATCACAAGAAATGTGAAACGAAACGCAGATTGTTAGCATAATTTGATAAACTTATCAGAGTCATGCATTAAACATATAGATTTAAACCATAAAGAAAGTCCATTCACTCGGATGTAGAAAGACAGCATATGATTTCCATACCTTTAATGTCCCTTAGTACTAGAATCTGATTAACAAAATCAGAAAATTAAAAAGAGACTATCTTTTCTAATCGAAATGGATGGTAAAACATAAAAGTAATGAAGCTAAAACAGCCACTAAATTACCATGGAGGTGAACACTAATACTCTCAAAGCATTCAGAACCAGATGATAAATCATCAGTGAAAGGAGCTTCTATAACTGAAATTGGACTTAGTTGATCTCCGTCTTTAGAGCCTGCTCGAGATCCTATTTCTGATACAGGACAATGGAATGAGGCTTGCTTAGATGGTGCCTCTGATGGTTCCTGGAGATAATTGCAAGAGAGATTAATTGTTAACCATGCATTAGGTTTGTCAAATATCCCTATTAACAACCAATGTGCATAATTGGAAACATACGAGCTAAAACACCATTCAAACAAAAAACAAATACCTGGGAGTTATTTACATCACCGCTAGAAACATCAGAATTTGCTGGAGGAGTTGATAATTCCATGTGAGAAGGTTTAGATAACACAGCCTTTTTCCGATCATTAATGTCCAATGCGTCCTGAAGAACTGAACTTGAATCCATGGCAGTACTAGCAGATTCTCCTGATACCATAAGGTTGTTTTCAGATTGGTTATCCCCCTGGAAATTTTGCAGTACATGATGTGGGGTGATGTTAAAATCTGGTGAAGGGTCACTATTTTCCTTATTACTACTGCAACTGCTACTCAAAATTCGAGATTTCTTAACACGGAATCTTTGGTTGTTAGGTAATGGAGCTTCCCACTGATTAAAATTGCCTTTTACTGCTTTGTTTCTGTCCCACTTGAAACCCTCTCTTGGAATCACATACTTATCTTTACGTAGACTTCCATGGCGACTGCTTATTCTAGGACTTCCAAAGTCAGTAACAGAAGCCGGTACAGATCGTGATCTTGAAAGACTACTGAGACATCCATCTTTCCAACCATCCCTACTGCTAATGCCCAAAGGTTCATTCCACACTTTTGGCTCAGCATGATTACCAATCTCACTGCATCCTTCCCCACCAACAAGGCCACTAGAATTTGCTGGGGTCATTTCCCTATCCGAGATCGCAAGCATTTCACCTAATGTACTGCCCTTACTAACCATCTGCAGCTCTTGAGACGCATGTGTTAATTTCCACCTCTCAGATAGTCGCTTTTTAGCCTCTCTACTAATGGATGATTCAGTACAACGGGATGATGGCCTCCTATGTCGCTTATGCCAGCCAACTTTATCCCTGTAGGACACTGTTGGTACATCCAAATCATTTGCAGATTCGGAACCAGATACATCACATGAACTCTCATCTCCTGCATATGCTCTAACCCTGGATGTCAAAGTTTTCATTGAGCCATTGACAAAGCTATTTTTTATTTGCCTTGTAATCTCCTTTGCTATTTCCCTCGACTCTCTAGAATTATGCCTTGAAAACCCGATATCGCGATGAAACCTTTTCTTGCACCATGTTTCTGCCTCCCTGCTTTCAATACCCAAAATTTCTGGGTTTCCTAAATGAGAATGATTAGAAAAACAAGGTGACGAAGCAGTTCTCGTGGAATTCTGCGACTTCCCAGATTCGGCTTCAAGACAACAATTCTTGTGGGTAGAATAGCTGGCGCACTTTTCTCATCTAACTGAACCTTAGGTGACATGGGGCAATTGTGAGCAACATATCTCCCATATGAGTGGCTGATAAGTTCTTCTTGAAGCCCTTGAGGAGATTTACTGTAGTGCTTCAATTGAGTTTCTTTCCCTGCTCCACGATGTAATCGACCATCATCCTTATTCAGAGTGTGTGATGATTTCAAGACTGATATTCGACTACAATGGGACTGAGGTGACAGACCTTGCAGATCATGCAAATGCTTTGTGAATAACAAATCTGGTTGCTCAAGGAATTTCAGCAGAAGATCCGTGTTTGAGTTTAGTACCTCAAGGGCATCATTGAATTCCACGGAATCCTGAATCTTTTCATCAGTTGAAAGACGTTTAGCCTCCATAAACTTCTGCCGGATAAAGGCAACCTCAGCATCAGAAAGCTTCGAGTTTGCAGTCCCTTGTGAAGAGTAACCGCCACTCTCAATTTAGACGCGTCTAAAACTTCAAAAACATCTTTAAACTCCGGCTCCTCCATTGAACTTTTCCTAGAGGACCGCCTACTATAAAATGAACCACCCTTTTGAACATTCTTTGACTACTCTCAGTTTGTTTTTGCTGCTTGTGGCCAGACTGTTGAGGTGGTAACCCATCAAGGCCCATCAATCTTGCTATAACACTTGATGATTGTTTTCTAGATTCATTTTCTTTCGACATCTCTCGTGCTAACAACTTCTTCATTGGGGTTCCAGTTGATTGTTTTGACGATCTCCAATCGAAATCAAACATAAACTATAACAAACAGAACCATATTTTGCATTAAAATAAATATTCAGGAGAATCTAAAGCTACAGAGTATCTAACTGTAAACCACACTGTAAAATCATGGAAACAATGAAACCAGCGCACCTGATCCTGGTCTCTAGTATCATTAAGGCAGGAATTGGAATCAGATGCCAAATTTGAGAGTTTTCTCTGTTTTTGGAGCTGCCAGTTTCCTGGGGGGGGGGGGGGGGAATCATATAAAAGAATTAGGTGTTCTAGGAGTAAAGTAAGGGGCAGGCTTAAAATTATTTAGAAGCTAAGTTTTAAAAGCTTATGAAATCAACATAACCACAAAAAGACTTGAGAACTATTCTCATAAAAAAATGCAAACGAAAAACCCATAAACAAAATTCAACCTGGGGGAAAATGCCTAATTTTTTTTCTTCCAAAAAGTAAAAAACAATTCGAGCTAAGAAATGCAATCATATTCCAAGAAAAAAAAAAGTAAAATCGTGTTGATAGCACCATAGAAGAAAGTTAGAAAAGGGTTCATGAGAAAAATGCTAACTTTAATGAAAGCATAATCAAAGAGTAGAAGCAGGGGATAGAGAGGAAAGAAAATGCATGTGAGATAGAGAAATGATGAAAGAAAAATTAAGATATTTTTTCAAGAATGAGAGTGAACGGAATATAGCAAATTAAAAACTTAACATTTAGCTCTTGATAAACCAAAGAAGAAAGCAACAAAAATGGGGTAAAACCGAGGGAAAAAACTTGCGTTTGGTAACTAAGAAAATGTTGGAAGGCAGCCAAGTACCAGTAACGGGAGGAGAAAAAAGCTTAAATCGTGAAATTCTTTTGACTAAATTCAATTTTCAAAATAGAATTTACATAATAAAGGAACCAAAAATTCAAAAAGGAAAAAGGAAAAAGAAGCCTTCTTTTCCCTGAAAATTAACTTAAAAATGCGTAAAAAATTCTAAATAAGAAATAAAAAGAAAACAGCGGACCTCTCGAAGAAGAAGGAGCATCTGAAGAAAGTTCTAAATCAGTGAAGCTCATATCAGCAGAGAAGCTGGAAATCTTCGGCATCCGTTGCCCAGATGTCTCCATTTTCCACTCATTTAACTAAGAACAAAAAAACCCAGAAATCTAGATCGGACATTTCGGGGTAGGCAGCAAGAAAATGAAAAATCGAGATCTTGGACAGCAGCAGAAGAAAAAAAATTGATAATTTTTTTGAGAAAGAAAGAAAGGAAAGGGAAAATGGTTAGCTGAGGAGTTAAAACGGGGAGCGTGACAACGGCGGGGGGCAATAAAGAGAGCCGTCGAAGAAAGGCAAAGGCAAAGTTAAAAGCTTTTTTTGAACATTCAAATACTCAGATCAACACAGAGGTTGGGGGCGGCACTCTGCGCGGGCGAGTGGACATCCCATACCTTTCTCCTAATCTAACTAATTTTTCCACGTCTTTTCTTTTTATTATTATTAGGCTAAAGTACACAATTGGTCTTCAATATATAACACTGCTTTGTTGAATCTATTTATTCAGGATATGAAATACATTATCTCAAAATCTTAAACAACTATATTATCAAATGATTATGGATGAGATTTTATTTATCAGTAGTAGGGTTAACGTCCAACTGAGAGGACCGTCACTTTTAACGAAAAATATGAGTTTGGAATGAATAGTTGGATGACCATTTGTAACTTTTAATAATAGAGAGACTCTACAAAGCAACGTTACTTTAATACTCAAAAGACTCAACGAATTAATGTCATTTTATAATTTTTAATAGTTAAGATGAGATAGTTAAGGGATGATAAAAAAATTCTGAGTGAAAAAAAAGATTTTTGATGGGTCAGTGGTGATGTTTAGTTGAGGTTTAAATTAAATAGAGTTGGTTTTGGGTTTTGTTTGAGATCAGATTAGATTTAGGTTTAAATTCAAATTAATTAAGATGAATATTTATTTGGTCTAGTTTAGGCCAATCCGAAAGGATTTGGTGCACCTACTACAGTGCTAACACATCTCATTTGAAATGCAGCTTCATGTAACATTACAGCCATGGTTAATGCCTAATTCACAAACTTTTTCTTTTCTAGAAATTTATCTTCTCAATGTTGGGTACTTGCCACATGCATAACTTGGAATTCTCACAAGTTTTTTATATTTTAAAATATTCTTAATGGGTATGATTTTAATTTAAGAAACCTCTCATTTGAACACCGTATAAAAACAAATGTATTCAGAGAAGAGGGAGAAAAACAAGCATTAAAATGAATGCAATGTCATTTAATCCATGTATAATATATGTGATTATGATTAGGCATATTTAAGGAGTAACTTATATTGTATTTATATAGTTACGGATCCTTGAATTATTTCTTTTAAAGCAAAGTACTCTTTCTACAGTGAAAGATAATACTATTACTTTTATATATTTGATTTTAAAATATGAATCAAACTATTTTAGTGATTAAATGAATATCTTATTATTTTTAAAAGATTAAATTTCGAGCACGATATCTATAAAGATGTTTGAACACTCAATAGTAAATATTGAATTGAATAATTGAATGATCAAAACATAACAAAAGTGATAGTTTGGATGTTAAAAGTGTAGTTTACTCATGAAAATTTTACGGCATGTTTTATGGTAAACTGGCCATTCATGTACCTCGAGGGCTCCATTGCTTCAACAGCCTCCAATGGAGACAATAAGATTGGGACTGTATTTGTTAAGGTGATTTTGGTGCAACAATTTGACAGTCAAATCTCAAGTAAGATAGCAAAAATAATGAAGAAGCCACAAATAAATATAAGGGAAAGAAATAGTGAAATAGTATTGGAACTATTGGCATAGTTTTTAGGGTAAAGTACACATATGCTCCTCCGATTATAGGGTGTTACTTTGTTGAATGTTTTAATTGTTAAAAGTTATAAAATAGTCTTCTGACTAGACGTTTATTTGTTGATTCCCTCGACTATCAAAAGCTACAAAATAATCACTTGACTATTCATATATTCCAAACATGTCCTTTTCGTTAAAAAAAAATTGGTAGTCGTTTGAGCTGGACGTTAACATGCTCACTGGGATTTGATAAACTCTAATCCCATAACTATTTGAGTTGTATTTTATGGATCAAGTCTATGTTTATATCGATAGACATCATTAAAAAGATGAGTTTAGAACATATGAATAGTCGGATTACCATTTTGTAACTTTTAATAGTTAAGGGATTCAACAAAGAAATACTTTATAATCGATGGATTATTTTGTACCTTTTAATAATCGAGAAACTTAACGAAACATCTTATAATCAAAGAATCATTTGTACACTTTACCCTAATTTTTATGTGCAAAATATTAATAATGTAAGTTGATTTTTGCATGATTTTCGGAAAAAAGGCCAATCAAATCAGCTTCAAATGATTAATTTGAAGTTTGTAAATGAAGCAAATATTAATAGAACAACACATTCATCGTGTAGCGTAACTATTTGTGATCGCACAACTTGAGCTGTCGGTTGAATTTAAAATCAATCTGTTTCTATAGGAAAAAAGGTTTTGGAACATTCAAGGCATGATTAACCGGAAAGCCCTTTATTTCATTGTAAAAAGAAAAGGCAAAAGCAAAAGAACAGCATAACAAACAAAATGATTGTTGTCTCTAATCTATGGCATAGAGGTTTTCTTTATTTTAATAATAAAACTAAAATAAATCCATTGAATCAACTTGATTAAAAATTTTGAATTTGAACAGTTGTATATGTAGAATGTGTGTGCTTTGTCAATAATTAAAAAAATATTATGACCAAATATTGACTCTTATAATCATCTCAAACTATTCTAAAAAACAAAAAAAATAGTAAAGTTTTATCATCTATTTTTTTAATTCAGTTACAGTACTTTTTATATTCATTGTAGTTTTGTTTAAATCAAAAAGGGTGAATTATGATCATATAACCGAACTACTATCATCTTCAACCAACACGACCACCTCAAACTACTACCTCACATGTTTTACATAAACATTAGTACGGTGAATGTGGATCTTCTTCCTGGAAAAAAAATTGTCATGACTATTAGACCCGAAATGCAACCCCAAACCTGAATCTAAAAGTAGGATTAACACTCAACTAAAGGAAGAAAGAGGTTATATGCACAAGGCAACAATGGGGAAGCATCATCCAAAGATTATACCAGTAAAGGAAGATGCACAACACAACATGACATACAACCCAAATAAGGAAGATGCACACACAATGTGTTCTTTCACATCATATTATCTAAGCTAACGTTTAATGCTGAAGCTGATTGCTAAGCTGATGGAAGAACTTGATTGATAAAATACCAATACCTTGCTAACATATTTAAAATGAATTGTATTTTGAAACCAATTTAAAACGTAAACAATAATTTGATGACCTATCATGTAATTAAACTAAAGAGAACACTTTATGAGTCTTATTTTGCATGTTAAAAGAAAAAGACAAAGCGGGTTTGACTAAAGTGAAATGGATTTAGAAGCCAAATTAACAATAATTAAGGCTTTTGAATAGCTACAATTGTGTGTATTATCTTTTCGAGAGACAAATTAGCTTAAATTATAAGACAAATGCCATGGGAATATGAGAGCCGTGAAACACTTTTTTATTAGTCTAGATTAATACAATGCAATATATGTTCAAAGTCTCAACCATTTGACATTAAAAGCTCATAATCCTACATTTATAGTATTCGAACACAAAACCTCAAATAATAATAATTATTCTTTAACCATTGAATTCGTCACTCGAAAAACAAGAGCATATCAAAGAGAAACTGCCTAAAATAACAGGTCATAAACTTTTCTCCAAGACTGGAGAGTGACCTAACTTAAAGAAACAAGCTGAAAATAGACATATCTTTCAAGCAATAAGCAACGAATGGCAAGTCAAAAAACAAGGCAACACGTGTAGAAAAAATATTTTGTATGTGGCATTAGATTATTGACATTCCATCTTATTTAAGTTACTTTGTCACTTTCAAAGTTTGTTCCTTTGGTTTTAAACCACTATGCCTTTCTTTGTATAGCTTGCTTAGATTCTGCGCTGCATTTTAAATAGTCAAAAAGAAGTGGAGACTATATTGGATTGACACTACAGTTAGGCAATGGTTTACGTCATCCGTTTTGTGTATGTTTTTCATTCAAAATAATTGGATTTAAGCAAATACTCAAAAGACAATTTTAAACAGTTAATTTACCCGATGTTTTTCTTTTTTTAAACAATTCTTACTTATAGGAAGGAGAAAGAGAATTTTGCATGTCTACAATAGATGATTAAAAACTCTTACTTGATACTTCCCCTCTTCTTTAGTTTGTAGGTTCACATGACACTTTTAAATTAAGCACTTAAATTATCGATATTTATTAATCATATCCTTTCATCACTTTTTTTTGATAGTCTTGTGCATTAAATGTCAATTTAAATCAAATATGAAATATATTTAAAATGCAAATCAAATCTTAAATACATGTATATCTATCCCATGGATGGCAAAAGTGCCCAAATAAGGCATGTGGGAATGTTTAATTCCCAAATTAATGCACTCATCCGATTAATTCCTCATCTAGTGTATTTTCTACAGTACCTCAGGGCTAAAATTTTGCTCCATCGATTATCAGGTGTCTTTAGTTAAATTTTTTTCTAATTACTTAGCATTTTTGGAGATTTTCCCGAAAAATCACATTTTCCTTAAATATTTACGTGCCAGACACCCTTTGAAATAATATTCTCGATCTAACACCTTTTGTATTATTTAATTTTTTTAGTATTTTATTTTTTTCCTTAAATCATTATGTTAGAATATATACTGAAGCGACGTCTTTCTTCTAGTACTTCTAACATGAACCTTCCTTGAAATCTTCATTATCACCTCCTCAAGAGTTATGTTTTTCTTGAAGGATATTTTAACATAATGATTTCATACGAAAATAACGTCAGTTTCATCTTTCTGAATTTCTCCATCATAATAAACAATATCTGAAATTCGCTTCATTCTTACACATAAACGTAAATAATTTAAATAATATAATTTTATATTATTAACGTATCATAAAAAATATTTCGATGTATGTTCTCGCTTTCCAATTTTACAACCACAAGAATTAATTGAAAATAATTACTATAATTTTTTTTTCAAATAATCATATATAATTATAAAAAATATTATATATTAAAAAAATTGTCTTACAACGAAAGATCGAACGAACTTCTGAATCAAAGATAAGAGGATTGTTGGGTGATATTTAAGGAAATATTATCTCAAAGAGTGTCTGACACGTAAATATTTAAGGAAAATGTGATTTTTTGGGAAAATCTAAAAAAATGAACAGTAATCATAAAGAATTTAACTAAAGACGCTGGCCTATGGAGCAA